CTTTGTGTCTAGTGGACAGGTCGTCAAGTGGTTCATTATGTACTGCTACCAACGGGCCAAACGGTCACTGGAGACCTATACGCACAGCAATTGAAACAGGCATTGCGTCAGAAGGAGCCAGCACTGGTGAATCGCAAAGGTGTGCTTTTCCTCCATGACAACGCCAGGCCGCATGTCGCTCGAGTGGTCAGGGATACCATACAGCAACTTGGGTGGGAGACTTTGTTCCATTCATCTTATTCACCTGACCTTGCGCCATCCGATTACCACCTCTTCCACTTCCTGGATAATCATCGTCGTGGGAAATCATTCACCAATGAAGCAGACTTGTGCAAAGCCCTCACGGAATTTTTTGTGTCAAAACCCCCCGAGTTCTACCGCAAGGGCATTGAACAGCTGGAAACACGTTGGCAAAAGGTGCTGGATGCCGATGGCGATTACTTCAAAGACTAAATACAAGTTACACATACTGTGAAGCGTTTTCTTTTTTTCCTTTAAAAACGGACAGAACTTTTTTGGTTACCTTGTACTTACCGACACCACACATATATGACAGGACACACGCGTTCACAGAAGAGCACACAATTAAAGCGAATTTTAATACATTCGTGTATATAGTTATGTGACCTTGATTTTCCAAGCGTAGCTTAGATGTGGTACAAGGCCGAAAGTAGGGGGCACCCAGTGATGATCGAACTCACTACTCAGTCGTAATTATTCTAGCGAGACAAGCTTGTTAACCATTACACTACCTCGAGGTGCCCAAATTGATTTTCCAAGAGTGGCTTAGATGTGACACAAGGCCGAAAGTAGGGAGGCACACAGTGAGGATTGAACTCACTACTCAGTCGTGTTTGTTCTAGCGAGACAAGCTTGCTAACCATTACGCCGTCTCGTGGTGGCGTTGTTATAAATTTATAAATGCCCAAACAGAAAGTCCAAACATGTATTGACATTTTTGAAAGAAAATAAACTATCCGTTCTATAGCCGTTGTATTTAGGGAATAAAATTTATAAAAACCTAACAACTTCTGCTATCTTCCACTTTTACAACAGCCAAATCAGGTTGAAAATAGAGTACTGCTGGCATATATAGACAGGAGCTGCTGCTCAATCTCGATAGAGTCTAACAGGGCCTAGGCATCTTTGTAGATGATGAATTATTTTCTCACTTTGTCACCCCATTTCTCCCAGACGAAACATTGCAAGCCTCTCGCTACCCTCTCGCTATTTCCATGGAAAGTGATCAGATGAACTACATTCCTTAGTTCAACCAGTTCTAATCTTTATAGCTAAGACCTCCATACCCCGCACCTTCCCTGGGGAGGTGTACATTCCACTCAGTTTCTTCCCACGAACGGCTAAACTGTGGGAACGACTCACAATAAGATGCTTGCCCCATCACTTACAATCTTCCCTACATATCCTCATAAATTGTGCCTTTTAATCTGTAAACCTCTACCTCGAGGGGATCTTGGGCATTGTATTGAGCGAAGAAAGCCGATGTAACAACAATTATGGCACTGGGGTAGTATTGTTTTAAACGATTTTAATAAGAGTAGATAGGTTCACCTATCGTCCGGTTCACACTCCTCACCTCCCTTTTGAACAGAATTATAGATTTATTCGTATTTTCATTTTAGAATTGGGTTTCCTGTTCCTTCTAAATGTTTACTTCAGTTGTATACTCTTAACACCTGTTCTTTCTTACGCTAATATAAATTCGCATCGTAAGCCTCTATCTTGAGTAGCTCTTGAGCTTTGTATTGGGTGAGGCATTAGTATAAAAAAAGAAAAAAAAACAGCTTTTAAAGTTTTTATACCTGTAAACAATAATATGTCTTTACTGACGTAATGCCGAGCCACCGATGGAACAGTGGTAGAGAAAAATGAGTTAATGCCTAGCCACCGGTTGAACGGTGGGTAAACACTTGTAACTAATTTTATATCTACCGTGAAACATTACATACCAATTATTTACGAATTTTGACTCTGTAGCTCAGACAGAAGGGTTAAAATTGTTCAGGAATGCAGAGCTCAAAGGGTTAAGTGTACATATCTTTAAATACGCAATTCCATCACCCGATAAAAATGGTTATATCCAAATTTATGACGTACTAATAAACATGTTTGTCTGATAGCTATATAAATACACTTATAAGAAGTATGTATACATATAGATACACATTATCAGTTCTCTTGGGGTCATATGTACACGCAACCGATCAATGGTGCATTCAGTGACTAGTATATAAATTTAACAACACAGGCAGCCGCCATTTGCAATCGCCTTGAAAAGCCCATTCATCATCGAGGAATAACGGAATGTCGTTCACACTTTTCCGTTAATTGAGAGTTGCTATTTACCATGAATATAAACCTTACTTCTCATTTATAGCAGACGACACTTTTAATCCTTCGTATTTTATTTTATTTTTATTGTTACTGTCATTATTTCAAGTTTTCTTCTGTCATCTTTTGGTTTACTTATTTTTTTAAAAAATAACTTTTAAAAATAATTATCTCTCTTCTTACCCAGCTGTTTTTTAACTCCATTTTTTGACTCCATTTGACCCCCAATCTTTATTTTCTGCATATTTCCTTTTACTCCTGCTTTCGCTATATGCTGTTCAGTAAGCCTCCATCCACACATTTGTCAGAACTCAAACTTGACATTGTTAACCAACTCAGGTGAAGATAGAACTTCTTCTATATGCCATGTCTCTTTAGGTCGTTAGTGATCACGGCTCTCCCTAACGTCCTATCCCTTGCAGCTCTTAGCAAGATTTGTCCATTTGCCATCACTCCCACCCAACACTGGGCCATCTATTTATACAAGCTCGTCAGATAAGTTGGCGCGTTAGACTTCTCTTACCTATTTTTGCATCAATTATGCCCTATGTGCATCAATTTCTCCAATCTTTCTTTCTTGTTATGCCCAATAAATTTCAGCTGTCTCTTCCTGATTCTGAGCATAAGTGCCTTTTATTTTTATTAAAACTTCCTTACAAGCGCCGAAAATGTTATTCTCATCATCCTTCTGTAGAACTATATTTTTGTTTGCCCCTACTTTTCTCTTCATCTGTGAGGAGATTGTCCAGTATTCAATATCATATAAGTCTATTAGTATCACATAAAAATTCAGCAAGCCTTCTCTGTTTCACACGAAGATTTCTTCTTTCTTAATAATTTGCTTAGCTTTTGGAAGACATCCTTGCCATTCCAACATGAATTCGGGTTTTCCATCCCGTTAAAATATTTCTCAGATATTCCATCCTTGGTCTTACTCTGGTTTTAATTTTCATTAATGACCTTCCCAATGAAATTAGCTCTCAAATTGGCATCTACGCTGATGACACAGCCATTTACTCCGTCCTGGGTATGACGATAAACTACATCCTCGCGCTGGGTAAGACGATAAACTACATCCGCGTCCTGGGTAAGACGATAAACTACGTCCAACAGCAAAGCCTCTGATCAGGAGGTCTTGAGGAGCATCGAATCACCTCTTAATTGCTGGTGTTCCCTGGTCCAGCCTGACCCGGGGTGGTAGCACCTGTTAGGGTCCCAGCTATGGGCAAATAGTTAAAACCCAAACTTGTGTAAAAATAGGTTTTAATACCAGAAATACTGTGTAATAAAAAAATTATTGCCAACAATAATTTTTAAAAGAAAAAAATTTTTATCTACCAAGTGACAAATTTAAAAAAAAATTTTTTTACGAAAATAAAACCATCCAAGATTGTAAATTTCCTAAAAGAAGTTGGATTGTACTAAAAAATATGAGTAATTGAAAAATGGTTCAAATATATATGTACATAACGAACCTTTTTACCAAACTATCGCTATGAATCTATTTCAAAAATTTTGTTGGCATTAAATGACCCACTGAGGTTTTGATATGCCATAAAACAAAACAACCAACCAACCATTTACTCCTGCCTTGATAATAATGCCTGATCTGTCCGACAAGGTCAAAATGGAGGTGCTGTCGAAAACGACCCCGTCCTTCGTTAACTGGTGAAAAAGATGGCTTGTTAATTTTAACGCCCCCAAAATTAAATTTCTCTCCAATAACTATACGAGAAAACCCTTTCTTTCTGCCTTCCATCCGCATGGCTGATGCTATCCTCCAGGACTCGTTTCACCTTCTCGGGTTCCCTTTCTTTGCCGATATGAAGTGGAAGACTATATTGAATCCATTGCTCGGTCAGCTGCTAAGAAATGTGGTTTATTGTTTCATGTGAGGCAATTCTCTCTCCAGAATCAATCATACAGTCTACCACTTGTCCATGCTTAGAATATTGCTGCCATAAAAGGCCCGGTGACCCTGCTATTTACCTTGAGATCTTCGATAATATTCAAGTAAGAATCAGAGCAATATTATTGCTCCCGATTGCTATAAGGTCGCCTCTCTGTGTCTTTTCTATAAATACTTTCATGGTAGTTGCTCGGATGATCAAGATCTATGGTACCTAGTCTTTTTGAATATAAGCGCATTACTAAATTGGAATCAAGGTCTCATTCCGGATAATCGCATCTGCACTCCGTTCTAACGATCTTTGTAGCGCCACCGGTGGTTCAATGTTACGGTTTTGATATCAGAGTCGTCCTTCCTGTAGACTGGTTGCCAACAAGTTTAGAAATATTATCCTGCCCTGTTATTTAATCTACAGCTGGGAGAAATTAATGTAATGAACCCGATCTGATTTCGAGCTTGGCTCGCAGAGTTCTCCATCCGGGCTACGTAAACCGAATAATGCATAAACGTAGATTTATGTATCGAGTATTCTTTAAAAGTAATGGGCCATTTTTCAAAGTGATACATTTAACTGCTATATATTATTAGCTCCGAGATAAATTTCCTCTCTTAGTAAACTCTTCGAGGATAATATTTGACGGCATTGTTTCTCGACTGTCACTCACCTAAACCTTGACCACAACCCCACCTCCAAAAAAAAAAAAAAATGTCTCAAATGTCGAATAACTTCGAAAACCCATCAGAATTTAGCTTCTTTGACAAGTTTGTCTGGTTTAGTGTTTAACAACACAGAGCGGAATTGAGATCTGACGCAGAGAAGGAGACGAGAAGAACAACAGTCAAAGAGCGGGGAGAGGGTTGGAAGGGGAGACCGGATGGGTAAAGTAAAAGGGAGAAAGAAATGGAAAGAGAGAGAGAGGGGGGAGGGGAGTGAGAGAGAAAAGGAGGGAAGGCTGATTTGTGTGGAAGCAAGTGAGAGTGAAAAAAATGGGAAAATAAAATCACGGAAGAGGGAGAAGTAATAAAGACGAGAAGGAAAAGGATTTTATAAGGAAATGCAAACAAGAGATAGATAGATAGATAGATAGATAGATAGATAGATAGATGGGAACAGGCTGAGATAGATAGATAGATCTATAGATAAATAGATTGGAACAGGCTGAGATAGATAGATAGATAGATAGATAGATAGATAGATAGATAAAAGAACAGACTGAGATAGATAGATAGATAGATAGATAGATAGATAGATAGATAGATAGATAGATGTGAACAGACTGAGATGCATAGATATGTAGAGACTAAAATAGATAAATGTAATCAGAGATAGAAAAATGGATAAAACAGATGAAATCATAGATAGGCAGATATTAACAGCCTGAAATAGATAGATATGAACACACAGGGATAGATAGATAGATAGATAGATAGATAGATAGATAGATAGATAGATGAGAATAGGCTGAAATAGATAGATAGATAGATAGATAGATGGGAATAGGCTGAAATAGATAGATAGATAGATAGATAGATAGATAGATAGATAGATATGAACAGACATAGATAGATAGATAGATAGATAGAATTGAACAGACATAGATAGATAGATAGATAGATAGATAGATAGATATGAACAGACTGAGATACATAGATTTGTAGAGAATAAAATAGATAAATGTAATCAGAGACAGAAAAATTGATAAAACAGATGAAATCATAGATAGATATTAAGAGCCTGAAATAGATAGATATGAACAGACAGGGATATATATATATAAATATATATATATATATATATATATATATATATATATATATATATATATAGATAGATAGATAGATACATAGATAGATACATAGATAGATAGATAGATAGACAGCGGCCCTTTCAGTAAATGTCCTTCAATTTTACTTTCCTTCGCCCCATCTCTCTCCCCCACCTCTTCTTTCCTTTCCTCTCCCTCCCTCTTATTCTGATCTTCAACATTAGATCGTCTATGGTGTGTGTATGTCACCACGAAATGTATCTTTATGTATTAGACATCCGACAACATTCATATTTGTCTTACTTAAACCCCTTCCACTCACCTCTACTAAAATTCTCTCTGTTATGGTTTAATCTCCCTCCTTCTCTAGTCTGTTACCCCTCTCTTTAGCTCTAACATTCGTCCCACACCCTCATACTTACACTCTCTCTAAATTCTGTTTTTATTTCCGGAGTTGTTTTTTTTTTCTGTTTTCTTTTTTTGAATTTGTAGGTCTGATGAATTGGATCATATTTACGATTCCAATGGAATAAATTATGATCATGGAATATTAGTGTTTAAGCCTTTTTATAATATCCTTACTCTGTCCTGGACATTGAGTTCTACCTGGATTCTATCCTCTTGGAATGCACCTATGTATATATATTTATATATTTTGCATATGTATGTGTATATTTACCACTAATATTATCTATATATATATATATCTGTACATGTGTTCTCTCTCTCTCTCTCTCTCTCTCTATATATATATATATATATATATATATATATAGAGAGAGAGAGAGAGAGAGAGAGTCGAAGAGAGAGAGAGAGTCGAAGAGAGAGAGAGAGAGAGAGAACACGTATATATCAAGTGATCCAGACCAGCTGCTATCTTCAGCTGAACGCCATGCTTCAACAAAGTTTCGGACCATTAGGCTCAGTACCTCCCCACAAGGTGGGCCCGCAACAGCTGGATTGTGTTACGTTGCAACCGGTCTATGTTGTTAGTTGGACGCGACTCGATAAGAATTTCTGGGTAGTCCGTACACTGCGTCCCACCGCTTTTTCTCCACAAGACTTTATCACCTTATTCGTCTTTTGGATACCAGCACACTTGAGGAAACAGCAGGAAATCGTCTACAGCCAGCATCAAACGGCACCAAGGTGCAGTCGTATCCTCCCACGCGGACTTCAGCCACCAGTTCCTCATACTGAAGCAGCTTTCTTTTATAAGCCTCTTCAATCCCTTCTTCCCATGTCACTGATGTTGCCTCTTGATATAAATTTACACTAGATCTGGCCTCAGTCCAGACACAATAACCTCCACTGGCAGTGTAGCATCAACCAACTCTCTCCACTTCCTTGAGTCCTCCGATCTGGTCACCTACCTTGTGTCAGTCACACCATGCTTTAGGAAGGCAATCCTTCGCAGGTCCGTCGAGGGTATACTAGCACTTTTTTGCAGCGGCTGCCACGACTTCCAGAACCAAGTTATGTCTGAAGGTGTACCAGCCGTTCTGTAGCCTTCGAGCAACAGGATCATATATACATATATATATATATATATATATATATATATATATATATATATATATATATAATATAAGCAGAATCGTCATTCAAACATGGTTCATTGAATAATGTCTATATTATTCAATGAAACATGCTTGAAATATATATATATATATATATATATATATATATATATATATATATATATATTTTATATATATATATATATATATATATATATATATATATATTTTTAAATCGTCATTCAAACATGGTTCATTGAATAATATAGACATATTATTCAATGAAACATCTTGAATATATATATATATATATATATATATATATATATATATAGAGAGAGAGAATGCGACAGAGACAGACAGAGAGACAGGAAAAGGCAGAGAGGGAGAGAATAAACGCACTAGATAAATATAAACAAACGAGATAGCTCTCCTCTATAGTACCCAGGCTTTATGAGTTTAAGTGCAGTACTAGATTGGTAGCAAGGTCCCTTCATTTCAAGAATTGAAACGGCTACATGTAACCGTAAGTTCTATGCGAACAGTTTCTTCTCTCAAACTTCCCGCCTGTGGAACTCACTTCCGGCTTCCTGCTCTTCGGTCAACTTTGATCTTAAACATTTTAAAGGCAATGTCAATCGTTATCTTCCTGTTTTTTTATTGTTCACTCTCTTTAATTTTCTCGCATTCTCTAACACCCAGTAAAACCCTTGCGTCTTAGTGGCTTTATAGTCTTGTTTAGAGTGAAATGATTAAAAAAAAATGGATAGACAAAGAGATAGATAGATACATTGATAAATAAATAAATAGTTAGATAAGAGAAAAAGACTTCATGTCATCTCTCCCTGGAGGTGAGGCTATGTTCATAAAAAAATGAGAGAATTTTGATTTATAAAATCGGAAGGTCGAAAGTTGGAATCAGATCAAATTCAGACTTGTCATTTATTTTTGAATGAGTGTCGAAATTCTCAAGTGTGGTCGCATCCCTCGTGTCCGTTTGACAGCCTATGACGGGGCTTTTAAAATGTTGTTCTAGGCTGTTCTAAAAAGAAACTCTTTGGAGAAGATCAAATACAAAGTCGAAAAAACCACGGAGCCAAATTTGTCCATTTTTATGTTTCGCAATTGATAGATAGATAGATAGATAGATACATACATACATACATACATAGAAAGATAGGAACAGATTCAAATAGATAGATAGATGGGAACAGATTCAAGTAGATAGATAGATAGATAGATAGATAGATAGATAGATAGATAGATAGATAGTGTTGTGGTACGATCCACCTAATTTACATAGTGGAATACCGACCATATAAATATGGGTTGGTACCGGGAAGACGAGGGAAGTAACAAGAGATCCAATCCAGAGACTCTGCCCGACTGCGATTAAGTCAACCCATTCTACAGGAACAGTCTTCCCAAGAATATACCAAAACTAACTGTAAATATTGTGTACCTTTTCCTTCTTTCAATACATTTTGTTTACGTACATTTTGTGTTGTATTATTATTATTCCATGCTTATCCAAGCTTCAACAGATAGATAGATAGATAGATAGATAGATAGATAGATAGATAGATAGATAGATATGACCAGATTCAAATAGATATGAACAGATTCAAACAGATAGATAGATTTGAACAGATTCAAATAGAGATAGATATAAACAGATTCAAATACATAGATAGATAGATAGATGGATAGATAGATATGACCAGATTCAAATAGATATGAACAGATTCAAACAGATAGATAGATTTGAACAGATTCAAATAGAGATAGATATAAACAGATTCAAATACATAGATAGATAGATAGATAGATAGATAGATAGATAGATAGATAGATAGATATGAACAGATTACAATAGATATGAACAGATTCAAATAGATAGATAAGCAGATTCAAATAGATAGATAAATAAATAGATAGAAATGAACAGATTCAGATAGATAGATTATTATAAACATTTTCTATGAAAATTTCTCGGACATTCAGGCCGGTAAATGTTATTTAATACTGTTTATTATAAACAGAGCATTTACTTAAATACTTGTATCTAAAAATACATACCCACTCAGACATACCCACATTAAAAAGGCCTTGTGCCACATTCGGTCCCCGTGGGTGGATTGATAAATACCATCTATAAAAGGAATACCCGCTCGGCCCGGTGGCTAGGATCAAAGTGTAGTATCTGCGCTTTGTGAGCTGCCGGGTCGGGTGTCTGTCGAACTCTCTGCTTGCGGAGGGGAACCCGGACGAAGCTCTGCCGAAGGGTAGGGTTTCGTTGGGGGAGGTTGACGGAACTAGCCCGCTTGGACGGGTTTAGATGGGTTTTATTTTTGGCTGGGCCTACGGGCTCAGACATACCCACATTAAAAAGGCCTTGTGCCATATTCGGTCCCCGTGGGTGGATTGATAAATACCATCTATAAAAAGAACGTTAAACATAAAAATGTCTTTAATATATATATATATAGATAGATAGATACTTCTAATGTTTTCATACGCGTCTTATGACTATAAAGTTGACAGCTTTCAGATAGAATCTTAGTTGATCCTTTATCTTCTGGAAGTCCAGTCTGTTCTCTTATATATTCCATCGTCCACTCATTAAAAGACTTACAAGGTTTATAAGAATTTCTTTCTTTCCTTTCTTTCTCTTTTTATATACATTTTTCATATATTTCCACTTCTTTCTCTTATAGTTTACACAAATTCTCTTTTTGCTTAGAAGTCGTCTTCTTTGCGTCTCACTTCAGATTTTCTTTAATTTTCTCTTTTTTTCATTGTCTGGAATTTTATGTAATTTGATGAGTTCTCTTATTGAAGGCAATCTGCTATTTCTTAACTTTTGCCATTCAAAATGACTGTCCGTCCTGACGATGACGATAAACTACGTCCAACGGCAAGGCCCCTGATCAGGAGGTTTTGACGAGCGTGAAACCACCTCTTAATTGCTGGTGTTCCCAGGTCCATCCTGACCCGGGATGGTAGCACCTGTTAGGGTGCCAGCTATGGGTAAATAGTTAACCCCCAAATTGAGGTCAAAACACCGTGAAAATGTAAAGATAGGTGTTAATACCAGAATACTTTGTAAAAATTATTACCAGTAATACAATTTTGAAAAAAATATTATAAGCAATACATTTTTCGAAAAAATATCAGGAATAAAAATTTTGTCGACATTAAATAACCCATTGAGATTGATATGCCGTAAAACAAACCAAATCAAACCAATATATACTGAGATAGATAGATTCTAATAGACTGCGACAGACAGGCAGATAGATAAAAAATATTACCATAGATAGATAGATAGATAGATCGATCGATCAAACCAAACCAATCAAAATGACTGTAGCTAACTGCGTGGTTAGGTACCGAATGAAGTCGAATTGAAATTGACACCACTTTGGATAGATTGAATGGATTTTTACGGCTTATCAACCTTTTTCAGGTTATTTTAAACCAAAAATAATCTTAGACTGTGAAATAATTTTGAAGATATTAATGATTTACTAATGAAAGTCTTACTAACTAAGCTACACCTAGGAAGAAAAAAAGGTGGATCCATAACTTTCTAAAGAGTTTGTTCTGCCTAAGGGAATATAAAGAACCTGACTGGAATTTGATCTCGGTTCTCCGAATTCAAATTCCGAGCCGTTATTCACCACGCTACCTGAACATCCAATCTTAAAGTACCTGATATTCCCAAGCAGTCACTCATCTAGGTACTGTCTAGGGTCGACGTTGCTTAACTCTGGTGATTGTACGGGAACCAATGTTTCAACGAGATATAGTCATAAACCCATTATATCACCCGCACCTCCAACCTTACGGCACCTCGTATACCCAAGTGGTCACCCATGTAGGTACTACCGGGTCTCAACGTTGCTTAACTTCAGTGATCGTACGAGAACCGATGTTTCATCTTCATCGCCCATTATATCACCCGCACATCCAAACTTAAGGCACCTCGTATTCGCAAGCGGTCACCCATTTAGGTACGGGCAGGTATCGACGTTGCTTAACTTCGGTTACCGTATAAAGAACTGGTGCTTCAACGTGATATAGCTGTAAACCCATTATATCAACAGCACATGAAAACTTATGGCCCATTGTATTCCCAAGCGGTTAACCATTTAGGTACTGACAAGTCTCAACGTTGCTTACCTTCGGTGAAAAGAAAATCGGTTTATAATCATATGCCATTGTATCATCCGTTCATCCAAGCTTACAACACCTCGTATTCTCAATCGGTCACCTATCTAGTTATTGACAAGTCTCGACGTTGCTTAACTTCTGTGATTGTACGAGATCCGGTGTTTCATCGTGAAAGCCGTAAGACCAATATATCGCTCGCACATCCAAGCTAACAGGACGTCGTATTCCCAATCGGTCACCCATCTAGTTATTGACAAGTCTCGACGTTGCTTAACTTCTGTGATTGTACGAGATCCGGTGTTTCATCGTGACAGCCGTAAGACCAATATATGACTTGCACATCCAAGCTAACAGGACGTCGTATTCTCACTCGGTCACTCATCTAGTTATTGACAAGTCTCGACGTTGCTTAACTTCTGTGATTGTACTAGAGCCGGTGTTTCATCGGGACATGGCCGTAATACAAGTATATCGGTTGCACATCCAAGCTTACAGAACGTCGTATTCCCAATCGGTCACCCATATAGTTATTGACAAATCTCGACGGTGCTTAACTTCTGTGATTGTACTAGAGCCGGTGTTTCATCGTGACATAGCCGTAATACAATTATATCGGTTGCACATCCAAGCTTACAACATCTCGTATTCTCAATCGGTCACCCATCTAGTTATTGACAAATCTCGACGTTGCTTAACTTCTGTGATTGTCCAGAAGAGGCACTAAAAAACGAATCCGTTCAAATAATCTGGTTCTTTGCTTTTTAATTTAAATAAAAAAAGATATCAGCCAAAGATTTTAATGAATTTCCTCAGGTCGTTATAAGTTTGGTTTCCCCCGCTTTAGCAACTTTCTTATTCACTTGGTGACACCCAAATGTACTTTACGCTTTGCCCGAATGACAAACTTGTTCGTCTGATATTGTAGTTATTTTCAAAGCGTAGCTTAGATGTGGCACAAGGCTGAAAGTTTGGGGCATCCAGTGAGGATCGAACTCACTATCCAGTCATAATTATTCTAGCGAGACAAGCTTATTCACCATTACGCCAACTCGAAGTGCCCCCGTCCGACATTATAATATTATTACAAAACATTATTTATATTTTTCGGACTATTGTCCTCATCCTTGTCGTCATATTTATTACAAAGTTTCGGCCGTTGTACGTTCCGGGCTTCTTCAGGACACATGGCACAGTGGATAAATGCGTTGGTTAGATCCACTGACAGGATCCAAAGTGTGTGAGTTCAAAACCCGGTTAAAGCAGTAGAGAAATTTCAGAGGGGAATTAACAGGAGATAACTGATAACTAACATCCATTAAAACATGGCAAGTAGAACTAGAACAGTCTACCCCAGTGAACGAAATAAAGCGTTCAGTTCGACATTCCAACCACCTGAAGAAGGCCGGAGCGTACAACTGCCGAAACGTTGTAATAAATATGGCGACAAAGATGAGGACAATAGTCCGAATAATGTAAATAGTGTACATAATACCTCATCTCAGAAATATAGACAGATACTGAAAGGCCGAGACCTTGTAAAAAATATGGCGACAAAGATGAGGACAATTGTCCGAATAATGTAAATAATGTACATAATACCTCATCTCAGAAATATATACAGATACTGAAAGGCCGAAACGTTGTAATAAATATGGCAACAAAGATGAGGATAATAGTCCGAATAATGTAAATAGTGTACATAATACCTCATCTCAGAAATATAGACAGATACTGAAAGGCCGAGACCTTGTAAAAAATATGGCGACATAGATGAGGACAATAGTCCGAATAATGTAAATGTTACCATACCTCATCTCAGAAATGAGACAGATAACCCTGTGGTGACATTTTGTATGGGAACTAGATTACAATAGTCCGTCGATGGTTGTCATTGAGTTGAGCCAAGAACCCTGTGGAGTGAAACATATATATATATATATATATATATATATATATATATATATGTGTGTGTGTGTGTGTGTGTGTGTGTGTGTATATATAGATATAAATATATATGTGTGTGTATATATATGTGTGTGTATGTATATATATATGTGTGTGTATATATATATATATATATATATATATATATAAGTATATATATATATATGGGTGTGCATAAGGCTCAGTTTCTACTTTCACTATGGTCGATTTGTTCGTGATGTTATCGGACTGGATCGAGGTCGATCCCGGCGTCCGACATCTTGTGAGTGAAATTCGGTCTTCGATAGCTGAGTATACTGGCCTTGTTCAGACTGTTAAATCACACTAGATAACGCTCTCTCTCTCTCTTTCTCTCAGAAACTGTAACTAAGGTCTTCTCAGAATATTTGCAGTAGAAACCACAGGTGGGCTCTGAGCACGGGTCTTCAACAGCCACCCTAGCTGATGAGCATCCTCGAAGTGTCGGCTAAGGTAAGTCTTTCTTTTGTCTTTATTCATACTCTCTTTTTTTTACCGATATATTTTTAATCATATATGAATTTTGCTTATAAGTATGTATGTTAGCATATATGTGTTTGCATCTGTGTGTATGTAGTATTTTATTTTATAACCGATGTTTTTTCTCTAGCTACAACTGTCACTTTGATACACGTCAAATCGTAAAACCTTCAGGCGACCGACAGAGCCTGTTGCACTTGAAATTTATTTATTCCCACCAAGGAGAACACAAAATTCTAAATCTCAGGCAGGCGCTATGCACAGACATGGCGTGCATAATAACCAAAATCACTGAGAAGTGAAAACAGATGCCTGTCACAAGATGGTAAACTCAAGTATTGCTGGCCAAGATGTTAAGGCCAATTAACGGAGACAAAAAAAAGCAATAAGAACAGCTGACAAAATTATTTAGCGTTAACATCTTTGAATATGGTAAACCAGGGGCCGGTAACCTTTTGCTGACTATGTAAGCACTTAGGGTTTTAAAATCATTCAGTGTGCCAACAGCATAGGTATTTTTATACAAATCAAGGCTATTATACCTGTTCTACAATATATTTTATATAGTAATATATACAATAATATGTAAAAAATGTTAATAGAAATAAACTGTTTTTAAAAGTGTTTTTTTTTTAAGTTTTCATTATTAATGAGTGTCCAACAAGGGAGCCGTTTTGAAACAGGTAAATATCTTCTTTTCATTGGAGTAGCTATTGATTTGGACTTTGTGATGTCATTTGAATGCCATTGGACATTGCTTGGCGTGGCACAGGTTGCCGACCACTGCGATAGATGATGGCCTGCAGGTATACAAGTTTATTGACTTAGCTTTCATTATTGTTCACCAAATTCTTATCACTGAAGTAGCAAAAAAAAAAAAAAAGAAAAGAATAATAATAAAATAATGAAAATAAAAATGAATAAATAAATAAATAAAACTAAACTAAACATGGTTAAAATGCACTGAAACACCAGTCATTACCAGCAATATATTTTATCTGTTGCACTTGAAATTTATCAATTTTTTAAAGTTTTTATTATTAATGGGCGTCCAACAAGTGAGCAGTTTTGAAAACAGCTAAATATCTTCTTTGCATTGGAGTTGTTATGGCTCGGACTTCATGAAGTCATTTGCAGCTGCGTGCCATTGGAAATTACTTGGCATGCCGCGTGTGGCACGTTGTTGAACCCTGTGCTAAACCACAAAGCAGGGCTCATTATAGAGTCTTAGATTCTATCTATCTGTAACTTTTTTTCTCTCTCTCTCTCTCTCTCTCTCTCTCTCTATATATATATATATATACACACACACACACACACACACACACACATATATATATATATATATATATATATCTATATATATATATATTAAAGAAAAGCAGACAACTTAAAGGCTCCATTGTAATAGTTTATTTCACCAGAGACCTTTTAAAGTACTCGGGATTTTTGGTTATTATTTAAAAGGTCTCTGGTGAAATAAACTATTACAATGGAGCCTTAAAGTGGTCCTTTTTCTTTAAATTATTAGCTCCTCCTTGGGATTACCCATACTGATTACCAAGTTTTTCATGTATATATATATATATATATATATATATATATGCGTGGTGCCCAATCTCGAGATATATAGCAGGATCACCAGAACAGACTCAGATTTATAAATGTGCAAGAACCTGCGACGCTCAACACTGCCGTAGCCAGGTATTGAATTCTCTTTGAGTCAAGTCACTGGACCCAGCCCAAACTTTTATCCTACCGCAGTGGTAAAAAAAAAAAACTTGGAGTGTTGAGTTAAAGGGAGGTAGCTGAGACATCCGGAAGACGCACGGCACGTGGAATTAGAACAATCTACGCCGATGAATGAAATAAAAGGTCAAGTTCGAAATTCCGATCATATGAAGAAGGCCGGAGATTACAACTGCTGAAACATGACAATAAAGATAAGGACAACAGTCCAAACAACGTAAATAGTGTAAACAATTGCAATACCTCATCTCTGAAATAGAGATAGATAAATAGACTTTAATTCTAAAAGTTGTTTATATCTTTGTTGTTATAAAGAACAAAGACAAGCAGCAGGTCATTTAGGGTTTACCAAAGTATTTAGATGTGATTCTCAAGTTGCTTTGTAATAACTGTCTATATTTCTGAGATGAGGTATTATGTATACTATTTACATTATTCGGACTATTGTCCTCATCTTTGTCGCCATATTTATTACAACGTTTCGCCCTTTCAGTATCTGTCTATATTTCTGAGATGAGGTATTATGTACACTATTTACATGATTCGGACTATTGACTTCATTTTTGTCGCCATAT